TTCTGGCCATTTTTAGGGCTTATGTGCAAGTCATTATAAAAAAGGGGTGGGAAGCTGGGCACAGCATTGTGGGATATGTACTGATGCCAAAATGTTTTTAAAAAAAATACCTTGCAGTAGGAGGAGGGTTATTTTTCATGTGGATTTGGCTATGACAAGGAACAAACTCAAATTATTTAAATTGCAGGCATTGGGGATGCCTTATATGATTTTACAGAGGAGCATGATTTTCACAGACAGACTCAGCGACAGCGTTCTTTGGCAATGCATATTTGGCAATGGAATTATTTTGTTTGATGACAGATAGAAAGTGACCTGCAGTTCACTAAGGCTGTCTCTGTTCTTGCTAATGCAAAACTGTGGAAAAGACATAGGACACAGGCAGGTTTTACATATAAAGATTTAGAGCAGTAAAGCAAATAGAATATACTCAGCTGTGTAAAAATTGGCCAGAGGCAGAACAGTTTTAATATGGGAGAGTAGGCTGAAATGTACGGACACAAGGCACAAGGAGGTGAGGAGGTGTTTCCCTACAAAAATTCAGAGCTTCTGACTAGAGATGAGCGAAGTATTCAAAAATTCGATTCGACTGATTCGGCGAATTCGAGGAAAAATTTCGATTCGAGTCGAATATATATTCGCTGCGAATTTAACTTATAAAAAGGGTGTTTCTAGGCTTCAGAGAGCCTTTATATTAGTGCAGAACACTGTACCTTTAATTTAAATGCCCTTGGAGTCTGCTGGGGAAGAGAAATAATACTGACAGTCAGTATGACATGCAGATGAGTGCCGTCGATCTTAGAATCACCGCACACTTCACTCATTTGGGCAGTCACGGGGCCAAAACCAGAGTGTGGAGCCACAGTGTGGCGGTGAGGCAGCAGCAATGGGAGGCCATACAGCACCCTATGACAAAAATGGAAACCACCAGCAGTGTGAGGAGACCTGAAAGTGGCACATGGCAGAGTGTGGCGATGGAGACAGCAGCAATGGGAGGCCGTACAGGGACCCATGACACACTCTGGACCTGGCAGCAGCATGAGGAGGCGGTACAGGGGCCCATGACAGATTACGGGCCTAGGGCCTGGTCGGTACGGGGGCCCATGGCAGATTAGGGGCCTGGCAGCAGCTATGGGAGGCCCGTAATCTGCCAGCACCCTATGACAAAAAATGGAACACACCACAGTGTGAGGAGACCTGAAAGTGGCACATGGCAGAGTGTGGCGATGGAGACAGCAGCAATGGGAGGCCGTACAGGGACCCATGAGAGACTCTGGACCTGGCAGCAGCATGAGGAGGCGGTATAGGGGCCCATGGCAGATTAGGGGCCTGGCAGCAGCTATGGGAGGCCCGTAATCTGCCAGCACAAAAAATGGAACACACCAGCAGTGTGAGGAGACCTGAAAGTGGCACATGGCAGAGTGTGGCGATGGAGACAGCAGCAATGGGAGGCCGTACAGGGACCCATGAGAGACTCTGGACTTGGCAGCAGCATGAGGAGGCGGTATAGGGGCCCATGGCAGATTAGGGGCCTGGCAGCAGCTATGGGAGGCCCGTAATCTGCCAGCACCCTATGACAAAAAATGGAACACACCAGCAGTGTGAGGAGACCTGAAAGTGGCACATGTTTGGGGCATGATTCATGGCGGATTTAGTCAGTTGTGTCAGGAACTGGTGGTTTGAAATCCAGACTAATCCACGCCTGATTCATTTTCACAAACGTGAGTCTCTCCACACTTTGGGTGGACAGTCCGTGTCCTCCGCGAGTTACAATACCTCCTGCCGCACACTAAACACGCGCTCCGATGCCACGCTACTGGCCGGGCATGACAGCCTTTCAAGGGCAAATTCAGCTAGTTGGGGCCAAAGGTCAAGTTTCGTTGCCCGGTAGTCAAGGGGATTGTCTACCTCGGTTTGGCAGGGTGCTGTCCAAGTAGGCCTAAGCCTGTTGTTTGAGGTCCTGCTCCAGGTCCACCTGATGCTGCTGCTGCTGCTGCTGCTGCGGCTGGTTAGTAGTTTCCTCACTGCGCTGGTGAAGAAAGCTACTCATCATCGACTGCAGACTGAGGCAGCCGCTGCTGGTGGAGCTGCCACTGCTCCTACCCACCCCACCCCTCCCCTGCTGCCATGGCAGCGGAACGCGAGCGCACAGGGCCCACAGTGTCTGAGGATGGACGTTGGCGCAGAAAGGCAGAGACCAGCTGACTACATAGGTGGTTTTTATAGTACGTTATTTTGGCCTCCCTCTCAGCAGGTGTGAAAAAGGCCACCATTTTTGAACGGTAGCGAGGGTCCAACAAGGTGGACAGCCAAAAGTCATCCCTCTGTCTGATGGTTATTATTCGGCTGTCGCTACGCAAGCAAGCGAGCATGCTATGGGCCATTTGTGCCAAGGAATGCGAGGGACTCCCTGCCCTCCATCTCCACAGCATACTGCCACGGTGCGTCTGGGTCCTCTGTCTCCTCTCCTCCTCCTCTACCAGATGCTCCTGCTCCTCCACTCCTGTCCGCTGAGTGGAAAAACCACCCATTTCACTCAATAATTCCTGAGCACCAATGTCCTCCTCTACCTCCTCCTCTTCTTCCTGTCCTGCCCCCACAGGGGTCATGTGGCGTTGAGATCTGTGCGCCACGTCTACCGCACCCTGACCAGCCATTGTTAACAGCATTTGTTCCAGGACGTGCAACAGAGGAATGACGTCGTTCATCCCATAGTCCTGCCGACTCACGAATAGCGTGGCCTCCTCAAAGGGCCTGAGCAAGCGCAGGTGTCACGCATGAGCTGCCAATGGCTGACATCTAAGTTACACAGGGAGTACCTTTATCCGCTTTAACACATCAGGAAATCTGTGATGGCCTTTCGCTGTTCGTAAAGGCGGTCTAACATATGTAGGGTTGAATTCCACCTTGTTGCAACGTCACAGCATGAGGAGTCGGTACGGGGGCCCATGGCAGATTACGGGCCTGGCAGCAGCAATGGGAGGCCCGTAATCTGCCAGCACCCTATGACAAAAAATGTAACACACCAGCAGTGTGAGGAGACCTGAAAGTGGCACATGGCAGAGTGTGGCGATGGAGACAGCAGCAATGGGAGGCCGTACAGGGACCCATGAGAGACTCTGGACCTGGCAGCAGCATGAGGAGGCGGTATAGGGGCCCATGGCAGATTAGGGGCCTGGCAGCAGCTATAGGAGGCCCGTAATCTGCCAGCACCCTATGACAAAAAATGGAACACACCAGCAGTGTGAGGAGACCTGAAAGTGGCACATGGCATGAGACACTGTGGACCTGGCAGACCTGGCAGCAGCATGAGGAGGCGGTACAGGGCCCATGGCAGATTAGGGGCCTGGCAGCAGCTATGGGAGGCCCGTAATCTGCCAGCACCCTATGTCAAAAAAATGAACACACCAGCAGTGTGTGAGGAGACCTGAAAGTGGCACATGGCAGAGTGTGGCGATGGAGACAGCAGCAATGGGATGGGCCGTACAGGGACCCATGAGAGACTCTGGACTTGGCAGCAGCATGAGGAGGCGGTATAGGGGCCCATGGCAGATTAGGGGCCTGGCAGCAGCTATGGGAGGCCCGTAATCTGCCAGCACCCTATGTCAAAAAATTGAACACACCAGCAGTGTGAGGACCTGACCTGAAAGTGGCACATGGCATGAGACACTGTGGACCTGGCAGCAGCATGAGGAGGCGGTACAGGGGCCCATGGCAGATTAGGGGCCTGGCAGCAGCTATGGGAGGCCCGTAATCTGCCAGCACCCTATGTCAAAAAATTGAACACACCAGCAGTGTGTGAGGAGACCTGAAAGTGGCACATGGCAGAGTGTGGCGATGGAGACAGCAGCAATGGAGGCCGTACAGGGACCCATGAGAGACTCTGGACCTGGCAGCAGCATGAGGAGGCGGTATAGGGGCCCATGGCAGATTAGGGGCCTGGCAGCAGCTATGGGAGGCCCGTAATCTGCCAGCACCCTATGACAAAAAATTGAACACACCAGCAGTGTGAGGAGACCTGAAAGTGGCACATGGCATGAGACACTGTGGACCTGGCAGCAGCATGAGGAGGCGGTATAGGGGCCCATGGCAGATTAGGGGCCTGGCAGCAGCTATGGGAGGCCCGTAATCTGCCAGCACCCTATGTCAAAAAATTGAACACACCAGCAGTGTGTGAGGAGAGACCTGAAAGTGGCACATGGCAGAGTGTGGCGATGGAGACAGCAGCAATGGGAGGCCGTACAGGGACCCATGAGAGACTCTGGACCTTGGCAGCAGCATGAGGAGGCGGTATAGGGGCCCATGGCAGATTAGGGGCCTGGCAGCAGCTATGGGAGGCCCGTAATCTGCCAGCACCCTATGACAAAAAAATGGAACACACCAGCAGTGTGAGGAGACCTGAAAGTGGCACATGGCACATGGAGACAGGCATGAGGCCGTACAGGGACCCACTGTGGACCTGGCAGCAGCATGAGGAGGCGGTACAGGGGCCCATGGCAGATTAGGGGCCTGGCAGCAGCTATGGGAGGCCCGTAATCTGCCAGCACCCTATGTCAAAAAATTGAACACACCAGCAGTGTGTGAGGAGACCTGAAAGTGGCACATGGCAGAGTGTGGCGATGGAGACAGCAGCAATGGGAGGCCGTACAGGGACCCATGAGAGACTCTGGACCTGGCAGCAGCATGAGGAGGCGGTATAGGGGCCCATGGCAGATTAGGGGCCTGGCAGCAGCTATGGGAGGCCCGTAATCTGCCAGCACCCTATGACAAAAAATTGAACACACCAGCAGTGTGTGACCTGAAAGTGGCACATGAAAGTGTGGCGATGGAGACACATGGGAGGCATGAGACAGACTGTGGACCTGGCAGCAGCATGAGGAGGCGGTATAGGGGCCCATGGCAGATTAGGGGCCTGGCAGCAGCTATGGGAGGCCCGTAATCTGCCAGCACCCTATGACAAAAAATTGAACACACCAGCAGTGTGTGAGGAGACCTGAAAGTGGCACATGGCAGAGTGTGGCGATGGAGACAGCAGCAATGGGAGGCCGTACAGGGACCCATGAGAGACTCTGGACCTGGCAGCAGCATGAGGAGGCGGTATAGGGGCCCATGGCAGATTAGGGGCCTGGCAGCAGCTATGGGAGGCCCGTAATCTGCCAGCACCCTATGTCAAAAAATTGAACACACCAGCAGTGTGAGGAGACCTGAAAGTGGCACATGGCATGGGAGGCCGAGACACTGACTCTGGACCTGGCAGCAGCATGAGGAGGCGGTATAGGGGCCCATGGCAGATTAGGGGCCTGGCAGCAGCTATGGGAGGCCCGTAATCTGCCAGCACCCTATGACAAAAAATTGAACACACCAGCAGTGTGTGAGGAGACCTGAAAGTGGCACATGGCAGAGTGTGGCGATGGAGACAGCAGCAATGGGAGGCCGTACAGGGACCCATGACAGACTCTGGACTGGCAGCAGCATGAGGAGGCGGTATAGGGGCCCATGCAGCATTAGGGGCCTGGCAGCAGCTATGGGAGGGCCCGAAAATCTGCCAGCACCCTATGTGGCAAAAAATGGAGAACACACCAGCAGTGTGAGGAGACCTGAAAGGGCCCATGATGAGACACTGTGGACCTGGCAGCAGCATGAGGAGGCGGTACAGGGGCCCATGGCAGATTAGGGGCCTGGCAGCAGCTATGGGAGGCCCGTAATCTGCCAGCACCCTATGTCAAAAAAATGGAACACACCAGCAGTGTGTGAGGAGACCTGAAAGTGGCACATGGCAGAGTGTGGCGATGGAGACAGCAGCAATGGGAGGCCGTACAGGGACCCATGAGAGACTCTGGACCTTGGCAGCAGCATGAGGAGGCGGTATAGGGGCCCATGGCAGATTAGGGGCCTGGCAGCAGCTATGGGAGGCCCGTAATCTGCCAGCACCCTATGTCAAAAAATTGAACACACCAGCAGTGTGAGGAGACCTGAAAGTGGCACATGGCATGAGACACTGTGGACCTGGACCCAGCAGAGATCTGGACCTGGCAGCAGCATGAGGAGGCGGTATAGGGGCCCATGGCAGATTAGGGGCCTGGCAGCAGCTATGGAGGCCCGTAATCTGCCAGCACCCTATGAAAAAAATTGAACACACCAGCAGTGTGTGAGGAGACCTGAAAGTGGCACATGGCAGAGTGTGGCGATGGAGACAGCAGCAATGGGAGGCCGTACAGGGACCCATGAGAGACTCTGGACCTGGCAGCAGCATGAGGAGGCGGTATAGGGGCCCATGGCAGATTAGGGGCCTGGCAGCAGCTATGGGAGGCCCGTAATCTGCCAGCACCCTATGACAAAAAATGGAACACACCAGCAGTGTGAGGAGACCTGAAAGTGGCACAGTGTGGCATGAGACACTGTGGACCTGGCAGCAGCATGAGGAGGAGGCGGTACAGGGGCCCATGGCAGATTAGGGGCCTGGCAGCAGCTATGGGAGGCCCGTAATCTGCCAGCACCCTATGACAAAAAATTGAACACACCAGCAGTGTGTGAGGAGACCTGAAAGTGGCACATGGCAGAGAGGTGTGGACCGATGGAGACAGCAGCAATGAGGAGGCCGTACAGGGGCCCATGGCAGACTCTGGACCTGGCAGCAGCATGAGGAGAGGCGGTAATCTGCCATGCACCCAGATTAGGGGCCTGGCACACCAGCTGTGGGAGGCCCGTAATCTGCCAGCATGGCAGAGTGTGGCAAAAAATTGAACACACCAGCAGTGTGAGGGACCTGAAAGTGGCACATGGCATGAGACACTGTGGACCTGGCAGCAGCATGAGGAGGCGGTATAGGGGCCCATGGCAGATTAGGGGCCTGGCAGCAGCTATGGGAGGCCCGTAATCTGCCAGCACCCTATGACAAAAAATTGAACACACCAGCAGTGTGTGAGGAGACCTGAAAGTGGCACATGGCAGAGAGTGTGGCGATGGAGACAGCAGCAATGGGAGGCCGTACAGGGACCCATGAGAGACTCTGGACCTGGCAGCAGCATGAGGAGGCGGTATAGGGGCCCATGGCAGATTAGGGGCCTGGCAGCAGCTATGGGAGGCCCGTAATCTGCCAGCACCCTATGTCAAAAAAATTGACACACACCAGCAGTGTGAGGAGACCTGAAAGTGGCACATGGCAGAGTGGCGATGAGACACTGTGTACAGGGACCTGGCAGCAGCATGAGGAGGCGGTATAGGGGCCCATGGCAGATTAGGGGCCTGGCAGCAGCTATGGGAGGCCCGTAATCTGCCAGCACCCTATGACAAAAAATTGAACACACCAGCAGTGTGTGAGGAGACCTGAAAGTGGCACATGGCAGAGTGTGGCGATGGAGACAGCAGCAATGGGAGGCCGTACAGGGACCCATGAGAGACTCTGGACCTGGCAGCAGCATGAGGAGGTGGTATAGGGGGCCCATGGCAGATTAGGGGCCTGGCAGCAGCTATGGGAGGCCCGTAATCTGCCAGCACCCTATGACAAAAAATTCATGGCAACACACCAGCAGTGTGAGGAGACCAGAAAGTGGCACATGGCATGAGACACTACTCTTGGACCTGGCAGCAGCATGAGGAGGCGGTACTGGGCCCCATGGCAGATTCTGGGCCTGGCAGCAGCTATAGGAGGCCCGTAATTCTGCCAGCACCCTATGACAAAAAATGGCACCCTCTGTCTCCTGATGATGCGGAAGCAATAGCCTGATGACGACGAGGCTGCCAAGTGCGATCAGCCCCTCATCATCATCAATTAGGGTCCCTCCGCCTCACTACTAGCCCCCTCGGCTGCGTGTGGGTCAGGAGACAGACTGTGTCTCTAGTAACCGGCTACCGAGCCACTCTCCTCGCCACTACTTCAATTTCGCCTGGCTCAGTGAAGAGGCGGATGTCTCCCCCCGTTCCTGACCGCCCTCTGTTAGCTCTTCCTCATGTACAGTGGGGCTGAGCCCCACAGCAATGCGATACTTCGCTTGGTGAGGGAACACCAAAGGACAGGGGCAGGTAGAGGACACGTGATTTCAGTGGGCTTGCTCCCGGGCCATGCCAACTAACGGTTGTGTGTCTGACGTAACCCACCGACCGTTGGCTGTAGGTGTCAGAGGTGACCTGGGAAGAGGAAGACGACCGAGCCAACCAATCGATGACGGCAGGGTTGTCGGTGGAGACACGACCGCTGGATGACCCGGGAGCACTGGCCTCTGGCTGCGAATTAGTGCTGCCTCGACCCCTTCCTCTGCTGCCACGTCTGCTCGCTCCTAAAACATTGCCTCCTCTGCCACTCCTCTGCATGTTGTCTGACATACTCTTTAATTAAACGATTCTGTGTCCCTGAGTAAACAATTCTGTGTCTGTCCCTGAGTAACAATTCTGTGTCCCTGAGTAACGTTTCTGTGGCCCTAAGTAACAGTTCTGTGCCCTCAGTAACAATTCTGTGTCCCTCAGTAACAATTCTGTGTCCCTCAGTAACAATTCTGTGTCTGTCCCTGAGTAACAATTCTGTGTCTGTCCCTGAGTAACGTTTCTGTGGCCCTAAGTAACAATTCTGTGTGCCCTCAGTAACAATTCTGTGTCCCTCAGTAACAATTCTGTGTCTGTCCCTGAGTAACAATTCTGTGTCTGTCCCTGAGTAACAATTCTGTGTCCCTGAGTAGCAATTCTGTGAGTAACAATTCTGTGTCCCTCAGTAACAATTCTGTGTCCCCAGAGTAACAATTCTGTGTCCCTGAGTAACAATTCTGTGTCCCTCAGTAACAATTCTGTGTCCCTGAGTAACAATTCTGTGTCTGTCCCTGAGTAACAATTCTGTGTCCCTAAGTAACGTTTCTGTGTCCCTAAGTAACGGTTCTGTGGCCCTCAGTAACAATTCTGTGTCCCTCAGTAACAATTCTGTGTCTGTCCCTGAGTAACAATTCTGTGTCCCTAAGTAACGTTCTTCTGTGTTTCTGTCCCCTAAGTAACAATTCTGTGGCCCTAAGTAGTAACGATTCTGTGGCCCTAAGTAACGTTTCTGTAGCCCTAAGTAACGTTTCTGTGGCCCTAAGTAACAGTTCTGTGGCCCTCAGTAACAATTCTGTGCCCTCAGTAACAATTCTGTGTCCCTCCCGAGTAACAATTCTCTGTGTCTGTCCCTGAGTAACAATTCTGTGTCCCTAAGTAACGTTTCTGTGTCCCTAAGTAACAATTCTGTGGCCCTAAGTAACGATTCTGTGGCCCTAAGTAACGATTCTGTGGCCCTAAGTAACGTTTTCTGTAGCCCTAAGTAACGTTTCTGTGGCCCTAAGTAACGTTTCTGTGGCCCTAAGTAACAGTTCTGTGGCCCTCAGTAACAGTTCTGTGGCCCTCAGTAACAATTCTGTGTCCCTCAGTAACAATTCTGTGTCTGTCCCTGAGTAACAATTCTGTGTCCCTAAGTAACGTTTCTGTGGCCCTAAGTAACGTTCTGTGGCCCTCAGTAACAATTCTGTGTCCCTCAGTAACAATTCTGTGTCTGTCCCTAAGTAACAATTCTGTGGCCCTAAGTAACAATTCTGTGGCCCTAAGTAAAGTTTCTGTGGCCCTAAGTAATGTTTCTGTGGCCCTAAGTAACGATTCTGTGGCCCTAAGTAACTTTTCTGTGTCCCCTAAGTAACGTTTCTGTGGCCCTAAGTAACAATTCTGTGGCCCTCAGTAACAATTCTGTGTCCCCAGTAACAATTCTGTGTCTGTCCCTAAGTAACAATTCTGTGGCCCTAAGTAACGTTTCTGTGGCCCTAAGTAACAATTCTGTGTCCCCTAAGTAACAATTCTGTGTCCCTAAGTAACGTTTTCTGTGGCCCTAAGTAACGTTTCTGTGGCCCTAAGTAACAGTTTTCTGTGGCCCTAAGTAACAGTTCTGTGGCCCTCAGTAACAATTCTGTGTCCCTCAGTAACAATTCTGTGTCTGTCCCTAAGTAACAATTCTGTGTCCCTAAGTAACGTTTCTGTGGCCCTAAGTAACGGTTTCTGTGGCCCTCAGTAACAATTCTGTGTCCCTCAGTAACAATTCTGTGTCTGTCCCTAAGTAACAATTCTGTGGCCCTAAGTAACAATTCTGTGGCCCTAAGTAAAGTTTCTGTGGTCCCTAAGTAATGTTTCTGTGGCCCTAAGTAACGATTCTGTGGCCCTAAGTAACGTTTCTGTGGCCCTAAGTAACGGTTCTGTGGCCCTCAGTAACAATTCTGTGTCCCTCAGTAACAATTCTGTGTCTGTCCCTAAGTAACAATTCTGTGGCCCTAAGTAAAAGTTTCTGTGCCCTAAGTAACGTTTCTGTGGCCCTAAGTAACGATTCTGTGGCCCTAAGTAACGTTTCTGTGGCCCTAAGTAACGTTTCTGTGGCCCTCAGTAACGTTTATGTGTGGCCCTCAGTAACAATTCTGTGTCCCTCAGTAACAATTCTGTGTCTGTCCCTAAGTAACAATTCTGTGGCCCTAAGTAACGTTTCTGTGGCCCTAAGTAACGGTTCTGTGGCCCTCAGTAACATTCTGTGTCCCTCAGTAACAATTCTGTGTCTGTCCCTAAGTAACAATTCTGTGGCCCTAAGTAAACGTTTCTGTGGCCCTAAGTAACGTTTCTGTGGCCCTAAGTAACGATTCTGTGGCCCTAAGTAATGTTTCTGTGGCCCTAAGTAACGTTTCTGTGGCCCTCAGTAACAAATTCTGTGTCCCTCAGTAACAATTCTGTGTCTGTCCCTAAGTAACAATTCTGTGGCCCTAAGTAACTTTTCTGTGGCCCTAAGTAACGGTTCTGTGTCCCTCAGTAACAATTCTGTATCCCTCAGTAACAATTCTGTGTCTGTCCCTGAGTAACAATTCTGTGGCCCTAAGTAACGTTTCTGTGGCCCTAAGTAACGTTTCTGTGGCCCTAAGTAACGATTCTGTGGCCCTAAGTAACATTTCTGTGGCCCTAAGTAACGTTTCTGTGCCCTCAGTAACAAATCTGTGTCCCCCTCAAACAATTCTGTGTCTGTCCCTAAGTAACAATTCTGTGGCCCTAAGTAACGTTTCTGTGGCCCTAAGTAACGGTTCTGTGGCCCTCAGTAACAATTCTGTGTCCCTCAATAACAATTCTGTGTCTGTCCCTAAGTAACAATTCTGTGGCCCTAAGTAACGTTTCTGTGGCCCTAAGTAACGTTTCTGTGGCCCTAAGTAACGATTCTGTGGCCCTCAGTAACAATTCTGTATCCCTCAGTAACAATTCTGTGTCTGTCCCTGAGTAAC